CTATCTCGTTTATCAATTTGCGGCTCAACTGTGGTTATAAGTCGAGGACTACCTGCCATTTGCATCTAGTGGATCATTCAGCCTTTTTTAAAAAAATATTTTAAAAACTTCATTAAACAAATTCTAAAAAACCAATTAAAAAAACATTAAAAACATATTTCCATTCATTGCAGCATATTCAATGCATACAGCATATTGCCGTAATGTTCACTCACTTTGAAATTCTTAAGTGTATAGAATATTACTAAATATTATTACAATTATTTTACATTTGATTTCTGTCATATTTTCATATATTTTCATAGTTACGGTATTTATATATTTATACACAAGTATGCAGAGTTATGCCTACTCATACCAAATTATTTCATCACACCATAACCTTTCATTTCATCTCTCTGTTTTGTGTCTACTTTGCAGCCAATTATACCATAAATTCCAAATTTTGTAGTACTCTGTCTCCTCTCTCCTTCATTTCCATAGAAAGCCTATCCACTTCTGCACACTCTAAAACCTTTTTTTATTATCATAGTATCCGAGGGAATGCTGTCACTTTTCCAATTCTGGGCAAAGGCTATTCTTGTTGCGGTAATATATGTAATATAATATATTGGAGTTTCTTACTTATCTTATCTCTTTATATACCGAATAGGAATGTATCTGATCTCAATTCAATTCAGCCTTTTAACCTACTGAGGAGTCCTTGAATCTCAAATAAAATGTCTTCGTTCTTTGTTTCTCACCTGTGCAGCCCCTGTGTCCCTCTCTTTGATTTCAAAATCCTGTGGTACTTCTGACACTTGCCATCTTAACTACGTGGAGACGAGTCCACATAATGAACTAACAGTGAAGACCAAAAGAACCTGCTGTACTGGGGAGGAATGTAAAACTCTGCCACCGCCTGGTATGTAGCTCTAGGAAGCCAATCTCAGCCTCAACAGACAACGTTGAAGGAGGCGAAATTTAACCTCTGCAGGGCTGCCCATTTCTGATTTCAACGTTGTCAGAGCGAAGGGTTAAACCTTAACTCTGTGTTTAAAAGTTCTCTTGCTAAGGATTGAAAGAAACATGCTCAAGCTGGGTGGGGAATTCTGGGAATTGAAGTCCTCTCATCCTAAAGTCGCCAAGGTTGAAAAAACACTGAGGAGAAAATGTTTTGTTTAGGCAGAAGAAATCCTATAAACAGAATCTGATAATCTGTCTTAAGTTCACCTTCCTGGAACGGAGTGGAGTGGAGGAGAGGAGAATGGATTTATTGGCCAAGTATGACACAAGGAATTTGTTTCCAGAAGCTTCCAGAAGGTGTCCTTTAAACTTTCTGGGAGCTTAAAATCCAGGAAGGCTCCCTCAATCTCCCTCAACAGAAATATAGTCTGAGGGATCAGCCAGCTTTTCCATGGTTTTGGGGAACTTAAAATCCAGGGAAATAAAGAGAAAGGATGTGCAACATCCTAGCCTAGCCTTACCCAGTCTGATAAAGCAGGCAGTTTCTCTTAGGCAATTGCACCAACCATCTCCTCACTCTTGTTCTTGACAGTGCTTGGACACAAAGTCAACCCACCCAACGGACTTCAGTGTCCTGGATGCCTTGGATTGTCCTCAAAAGAATGCACTGAACACCTGGTTTCCTGCCGGGGATCTGAAAACCAGTGTTTGTCTATAATTGGGAAAGAATTTGGTAAGAACAGGCTCCCTTTAGAATTATGATTTGAGACTGGGAGGCCAGACTTGAGAAATCGGGATTTTGGAGCAGTCATTCGGAGCCTTCTTGAACAGAAAATGCAGCCAATCCTAGACGGTACCTGTGATGATAAACAGGGATGTCTTTGTAGCATCTCAGTTAAACAGCTAAGGGCAGTGCGTCCATCTCACTATGATTAAAGGCCTATCAAAATTTCAAAACAGTCATGGAGGAAATTAAGATGACAGCACATAATAACTTTTTAAAACTCGTATGAGCTTTAAGCCTTCACTATTTCTAATTTACAGTTCAAGGTAGGGGGAATAATCAATGCTCAACTAGATAAGCAGGAAAACTTGATAACAGTCCCAGTCTATTTTCTTCCCCTGTTTCTCCCTCTCCCTCTCCTTATCCTTCCCCTTTCCCTCCTCCTCCTCCTTTTCCTCCTCCTCCCATCTTTCTTCCCCTTTAAGTCTTTCCCAGTGGTGGGATTCAATTTTTTTTACTACCGGTTCTGTAGGCGTGGCTTGGTGGGCATGGCAGGGGAAGGGTACTGTAATATCGCCAATCCCTTCTCTCCCCACTAACCTGATCTCCAGCTCTGTTCTCTGTGCAGGGCAACCAAAGAAGACACAGCTGATCAGCTGGGACTTGGGAGGCAGAGAATAGATGGGGTTGGCGGGGCCAGGCAGAGGAGGTATTTGCCGTTTCTCCGAACTACTCAAAATTCCTGCTACTGGTTCTCCAGAAGCTGCTGAATACCACCTCTGTTCCTTCCTGAAACACTTTGCAAAAGCAATCCTTTGGCCACATTTAGTTTTCCAAACACAATTTCCAATACTTTCTCCTTTCCCATTTTTGAAGGATGGGGTACTGTAGAGAGAATAGGATAGAATAGAATAGAATAGAATAGAATAGAATAGAATAGAATAGAAT